CACACACACACACACACACACACACACACACAGGTGGCTCGTTAGGCTTCCTTTTGCAAGTACATGTACAAATGCACACACATGCTACACAACTTCATTACCTTCAGTGCTATCTAGCTCCGCATCCCCTGGCCCTGTAAAACAAAAGCAAATATAAAGACAAAATCAAAGATCATTTCTGTTCTCCCAAGGGTGATGAGAGAGTTTCATGTTTGAGTATGGTTTCTTCATATAGCTGTTTCACAGAGAGTTTGCTGACAAGCAGTGAGTTTCTAATATTTTTAGTATTTCATTGGCCACACCTCTTTTAAGACCAACTTATTCCCATATAGGGAAGTATAATGATACACATAAAAAATTAAAATAAGGCCCACCCCGGTGGCACAGCAGGTTAAAGCACAGCACTGAGAATCTAAAGTGGCTTCCGCATGAGTTCAATCCCCGCCTGCCCCGGAGGTGACCACATGGTGTGGCAGACCTCTCCTGACCCTCCCACTTCTCCCCTCAGCAGTGTACTTCTTCGATCTGCCTGTTCTGCTCCCCACTCTGTCTGTGGTGAAGCCTCTCACTGCCCCTGAGCCTCTGGCCTGTACCCCAGTTCTGTATGCACAAATAAATAAATCTTTAAAAAAAATTAAAATAACAGCTTCTCAAACTGCTGCCTATGCATCTATGTCTATAGATGGATTCTGTTCAAACCTATAGACTTTTATTAGGTTTCATCTTCACCCGGTCCCTGGGATCTTAAGGTGCCCCCAGCCTGCGAGAGAAGTGATGGGTTTTCACAGAAAAATGAGTTGAAGGATATTCATAGAGAAATGAGCTCCTCTGGGGACCTTTAACACCTATTATCCTGCTACAGGGCCAGTTGATTAAAGTGCCTCTCTAACAGGAACTGGACCAGGTGAAGTTGGATATCTAGAAAGGCATATGGTTCTCACCCTTATTTGGGAAGCTCTTCAAATACTGTTATCTGTGTACTACCTTGGATATTCTGATCTGATTCTGGTCTAGAGTGGATTTTGACACTAGAATTGTTTAGCAAATAACACTGAACCTTAAAAACCACTACCCTTACATTCTCTCTGCTCTGCATTACAGAGCACTTGCAGAAGCATTTGCACTTATAAGAAGATAGACACTAGGTCAAATTGTGTATGGTGATAGAAGAACAACATACCCACAAGAAAATATTAGGTTATTTCCAATTCTTCAACAGTGTTTGAGAAAACAAGATATGAACTCTTTCCCAGTGTTCCTCAAAGTGTATTCTGGGCCCCTTCTGCACCTGAAAGCTGTTTTCTGTTGCTAAAATGCAGATTCCCAGACCTCACTCAGCTCTTCTTTATCAAAATAAGGGGTAAGGAAAACTGGCAATTTTAACAGACTTTGTAGTCAAAGTCTTTGGCACATCCAAGTTGGAGAATCTGTGTTTCCTTTCAGACCACCAGAGTTGGGTTTGAGTCCCTTAACAGTGAATTTGCCACAATTAAGTTCCTCTCTGACTTAACATGCTCTATACTTCAGAGTACAAGGACAGGGAAATCTAGACCTTTGGATGTCGTTTAGAAAAGTATAACGGCACCAGTATTTCTTTTAAGCACAGGCTAAATAGTGCAGAAGTAAGTTATTAAAACAGCTGTATGCTAGGATTAGCTCATGGAAACACTATCAGCATATTCTCATCTCATAACCCACAGCTAAACACTCAGTAATTTTTAAAATCCATGTTTTGATAGATGTAGTTGGAAATATTCCTGCATATGGTTCAAACACCCATTTCATGAATGGACCGTAAAATCAAAAGATGACCTATTCCTTACTTGCCCTAAGGACTGACACCCACAGGGCAGCAGCAGTATTGTAGTCACATTATTTCTCAAAGGCTCAGCACAATTCCTGGTCCATACAGACAGTTAATGTATATTTATAAGAAGACAATGAAAAATGGGAGAGTATCATAGCAGGTTAACTTCAAATTAATTTCCCTCAGAATCATACATATATATGTTTAGATTAATTTCTCAGCCCAGTATTTTGTAGGATTTATTTTATAGTAACTGTATAGAATATTGAGGCTTAGTGATTTATATTTATACATGTATATTATACATGTATGCATCCATTCTTCATTCCTTTACAAATAAAATCACTTATTTTCAAATCACCCTTTTTTAACTGATTACTTGAAAATGCATTTTATTCTCTAAAGTTTGAATAGCTTGTTCTATGTTTAACATTGATGGAGTGACTGCTTTATATCAGATACTATCCAAGATACTATACAAAACTCTGGTTGAAAAAGCACAAATTTTAGAAAATGCACTTTGCTTTCTATGTTTCTGAGCTTGGTTTATTGTTTTCAGGTATCAGGAGGTTCATGGGGTAGAATCACAAGGAAGACTTGAATTCAAATACTGCTTGTGTTGATTACACCACCTGACTTTTCTCATCTGTACTGTCTACTTCTAAAGTTACTGAGAAAAATGCATGAAATGATAGACATAATAAGAGAAACCTCTTTGTATAGTATCTTGGATAGCTACACAGAGCTTAAGGAAAACTCTAAAACAAGTCAGGGGTTGAAAGACTGTCAGCTTTGTTCAGGTGTCTCAAGTTTTCCTGACTCAAATAAGCTTTACTTTTCCTTTCTCTGAGGAGGAAAGCTTTCAGGTGACAAAAGGAAGTTATCTGTCCTTATTAGTCAGGTGCTAGATTGTGTTATCATATGCAACTCAAGTGATAAGGGCATGATGTTGTGATGAGGGAAGGTCATGTTCCAGGGATCATCTTGTGGACTTATTAGAAATTGCAGGCATAAGCTCCAAACAACTGTTCTATTGATACATCAGGGCAGCTTAGCTGTAGAAAATAGTAACAAAACCCAGAACACTGTCTTTTATAGACAACTTGGAGGCAAATATTTGTACACCCTGCCTGCTATTCTGCACAGAACCTGTGAGTCTTTCTGAGTAATAAAACTCCATGTCAGTAGGTAAAGAAATGTCTTTATGTGTTTTTGTTGAGTTTTCAGGTAGAGCAAACAATTGTCCAAAGTACATGCCAGAAGGAGCTGAGTTAGAGATAGTCTGTATGCCTATAGGGCAACATACTTAGATTGAAAAGATGTAATGTATTTGCTCCTGTGGGCTGTTAACAGTTAGGATATTCATTTATGTCTTCTGTTAAATCATGTGAAGAGCTATTTTATGCGACTGCTGTTCCACTTACTGGTTTAAGCGAGGGACCAGTTTGGAGGAAGAGAACTGTCTATTGATAATCAGGCAATTGTTTTGATGATTGTAAATTGATTTCAAAGTTTGAGATCTAAAAGGTTTAAATTATTTATGAGTGATGTGTATTAACTTTAACCTGTTGTTCCTTATTCAAGCAGCATGGATAGTTCAACTCTTCTTTGTTTTTTAATTTGCTAAGAATAAGTAAGATGACATATAAATTCTCAGTTACTTACAAATTAAAAGGGGTGTTTAAAAACTGAAAGATTTTCAAGATTATGTTGTTGGTGAGTTTGTACAGGCTGAATAACATTTACCACAGTTGTGATCTTGAAAAAATATAGTGATAAAGGAAGAGGAAAAAGTGTCCATCAAGGAAAATATAGTTCAGTTTGATCTATGACACCTCATATGTATGCTTCTTTAATTTAGACTGGCCTGAAACACATGCCATCAGATTTTCTTTTCTTCAAATCTGCAGTTAGCTTCAAAGCAATACTTAAATGTTTACTTAATGTCAGCAGTGTAAATTTGTAAATTATTCTGATAGAATAAAGAAATTCCTCTTGTGTATATACTTCATCTAATCACTTATAAGTAATCTAATTCTAGGCATTTGCTCTTGTTAGTATGAATACCTCCTAACAAGAAACTGATGACAGCCTGTAGTTTAATTTTCTGTGAGACTTCCTGGTAGCCCAGTGTCATTAAATATGTGCTCTTTTGTCAGTATTGAGTCAAAAAATAATTAAATTCTGTGAAGACACTTTTACTATAATCTGTTCCACTATACTAGACATGGAGGCAAGCATCCATAGTTTAACGTCCTCAAAAATAAATTTACCATCAAGATAAAAAGAAGATGAAAGTGTGTTCCTCAGGCTTCAGTTGAATGTGAAAATTACCAAGCTGATTACATGCTTATCATACTGTCTTATAATTGTGTTCTTGTCACCTCCTACCAGTTATGCTCTCTTTGAAACCAAGTAGCTAAACCCTATCATCTAGCTTTCAAAATACCCTACAAATATATATTGAGTAAATGGAGGGAAAAAATGATTGATAGTCTTTTATATTCTATCTTTACAGTTTGTGTTTTGGTTGAAAAATAATGCATGCATATCATTTCACCTTAATTTTATCAGCACTAGCATTATAAGTATTTATTAGTACTTAGCTTCAAGGTTATGGTGAAGTTTAGCAAATGATTATTTTATGAAATGTTTTTTGAAATATGCAGGTAAAAAAAGCCATTAATGCAAATACATACAGAAATGACGAATGGTTATTTAAGAAAATAATGGCTCTTTTAAATACCTGGGACATGTTATTGGTTTTTCATGTGGCCCTTAGCTGGAATTATGCCACATAACCACTCCTAAACCAATCACTAAAAGATAATACAATTACAAAGATTAACAGAGACTAGTCAAGATTTACCTCCTTAAACTGAGACAGGACCAGCTTGTTGTACTGTCCCAAGCTGTCTGACACCAAGAGGAAATCCAAGTTCTATTAATCTATCGGTTAGACTAAAAATTGCAGTTTCCTTGATATATTTGTAGCATAGAAGTTTAGAGATAGTATAATTCCATACATCACCTGGACCAGGCTCATCCTATTTTTCTGCCCAATAATACTTAATATGCGACTTCCATTATTAGGTGGTTGCTAAAGCACCAGCCATCACTTTCATATCCCATACAGGAAAAGGATGAGGAGTGGTGAACATCTTCTTAAAAGATGTTGTATAAGCCCCAGGAAATAGTCTGATTATAACTCATTAGCCAGCCAAAATATTTACATATTTTGCCACTTAATTACCAGGCATATGGGGAAATGTAGTTAGATGTGCCTATTCAGAAAGTAAGGTTTGTTACTTAGGAGGAAGAAAGAAATGGATGTTGGTGTAAACAACTATGAGACTCTGTTACAGATAGTAATGATGAGAGGATGGAGTTAAATAGGGGAGAAGGAGAGCAGAGCATATAGGAAATAATAGCTTGTATGCATTTTCCACCAAATGTATGATGAAGATCGCATGTAATTTTAAGCAATAAAATAGTAGCATAGAAAAGGAATAGGAAGGAGAGGCAAAGGACATTATAAATCAGCAAAATGTAGAAATTGTATATGGATAATTAGGATCATGTTTTGCACTATATCTTTTTTTTTAACCTTCTTGGAGTACTTTGCATATTAAAGAATGTTATTTTTCCAAAAATGGAAATGTGAAAGTCAAGGTATGAATGATCTTTCCAGGCTAACAGTTTTAATTAGCAACAGGGTCACCTTTGGAAAAAAAATACAAAATATAGGATAGGATTATTATTAAAAGAATTGGATCCACTAGACATAGAGGAAAGAGGCAACTTTCTAATTAGCTACAATAAGCTCTGGGGAAACTTATTGGTAAATTAAAATCCATGCCTGTAAAGTGTCATGTTTATAAATGATAACTCTTTTCTTTGTTTTTTAAAGGTAGCTAACCAAGTTGTTCAAGCTCTGCTCACTCAAAAGGTAGGCCATTTATGGTTTTATTCATGTCAAGTATTTATGTGAATAAATTGGGAATTATATTGTCAAAGTAGGAAATTGTGATTGATAGATGCAATACTTTTCTATTTATTCACTTAGTGTAAAATTGTCTGTGGTGTAGATGGCATGTGAATAACATCAATGGCCAATAAAATTGTAAAATTCAAATTCTTGAGAATGTATCAAAAAGCCCTTTGAAGATGAAAGAATTCCTAAAAGTAGATAGCCTCATATGGATAACATTCTGCAAAAGATCTTTGAGATTATGAAAGTTATTACATTTCTGAGTCTTATTTCCTCTTCTGTAAAATGGAAATGACAATTCCTACCTTCTAGAATTGCTATTGGCATTTTAGGAAAAGAAGCATATAGAGTAGTTTGCTATTGGAATTGGTTTATGGCAAATATAAAATAAATGGCAATATTATATTCTTGAATTACTGAATATCGTAAGCATCATCAGCTGCCCCCCCCCCCCAAACACACACACACACACAAGTTAACCCTATGAATGGTGGGCAGGTTAATAACCTTAATTTTTAGTAATCACTCCACAGTGTGATGTATATCAAATCATCATGGTGTGTGTTTTAAATATATACTATTATAATCCTTAATGAATGTGTATGGGGTGGGAAGCATTGGTAACTTCTGGTAATGAAATTTTTATACCAACTCTTTTGTTATCCCTCTATTTGCCTTCAGATAATACAAGATCATGCTGTTAGGGCTTAGTGAGTAAATGCAGTGAATTATTAAAATTTGCCATGTTTGGTGAATTTGATTGAAACATACCTATCTCTTTTCATAATATGTCTCAGAGCCTAAATTCTATTTTCTTTAAATTTTATTTTTTCTGAGCTCTCTCAGTGACATGTAGACCTTCTCTATAAAAGGAAATATGAGATAATACCACATATTCAGGAGGATATGTGACTAATGAAATGAAACCAATTTGTGATATTTTGATTTTCTATTGTGGTAACATTGATTTATAGCAGTACATATGATTCAGAAATAAGGGATCATATTTCTTTAGATGTATGTTGTTATACCACAACGGTACCACAACCCTTCACCATGGTCCATTAAGCCCCCTCCATTCCCTGCTCTATGTCTCCCCTTTTCATCTGGCACCCTCAATTCTACAGTTTGTTATTGGCTTGGGTTTACCTAGCACTTTGTGTTATTTCTCTGTATTCCGCATATTAAGTAAAAACATCTGGACTTTTTCTTTCTCCCATTGACTTATTTCAGTTAGTATTATCCCCTCCACTTCAATCCATGTTGTCACAAATGACAAGAGATCATAATGTTTTATAGATGAGTAGTATTCCATTGTGTATATGTAAATATCTTCCTAATCCGCTCACCTGTTTTAGGATACTTTGCTTGTTTTCCTAACTTGGCTATTGTCAATAGTGCCATAAGGAACATAGGAGTGCATGTACTCCTTCTAATTAATGTTTTTTGCATTCTTCAAGTAGATACCTAGAAGTGAAATTGCTGGATCAATTTTTAATCTTTTAAGAAACCTCCATACTGTTTTTCATAAAGACTGGACCAGTCTATATTTCCCTATCTGTATATGAATGTTCCTTTTTCTCCATATCCTCAACAATAGTTGTTGTTTTAGGTCAGATGGCCTTTTTCACAGGTGTGAGATGATAGATACCTCATTGTGGTTTTAATTTGCATTCCACCAATGATGAATAATGATTTTTTTTTTTCATGAAAAATAGCCATCTGTGTATCTTCTTTGGTAAGGTGTCTGTTTAACTCTTTTGCCCATTATTTAATGGTGTCGCTTTCTTTTTGTTGAGTTGTGTGAGTTTCTAGCAGATCTTGAATATTAACCCCTTGTCAGACATGTAATAGACAAGTATTACATGTATTACAAGTATTTTCTTCTACTCAATAGGGTGATTGTTTTAGTGATAGTTTCTTTTGATACACTTAAAGTTTTTACTTTGAAGTAACCCCATTTGTTCATATTGCTTTTCTTTCTATCATTACTTTTCAAGCTGCTTCTAAAAAAAATAAGAAATAATCCTTCCAAACACATTTTATGAATCCAACATTACTCTGATACCAAAGCTAACACAGACATAACAAAGAAAGAAAAAAAAAAAAAAAACAGACAAATACCTCAATGAACCAATGCAAAAACCTGCAATGAAATCTTATAAACCAAACTCAGCAGTACACTAAAAGGATCTTACATTGCGACCAATAGGATTTATTCCAGGGAAACTGAAAGGAAGGTTCGGTATCTAAAAATCTATCAGTATAGTACAAAAAATTTTTATTTTTTATGTTAATCCATAATAATGTCTCATTTTTTTTTTTGGTAGATTAACCAAAAGTTAAAAATTAATTTGGCTGGGCACATTTTCCACAAAGTTCTTCATCAGGACAAAATGCTCATTACTGTAGCATCACTTATACAGAGACCATAACAACAGCAGAAAAACAGCAATTTGGCCTCAGATGGCCCTGGACAAGAACCCCAGCTTCACTATTTACTAAGGTCTTCAACCACACTGACCTTCAATTTCATTCATCTGTGAAAGGAATTGACAAAAATTCATATGATTATATCAATAGACATAGAGAAAGCATTTGCTAATATTCAACTTTCATTTTTAAAAAATGGTGACAGATGGAAGATATCTCAACATAAGAAAAGTCATATATGACAGACCACAGCTAACGCTATTCACAATGACAAAGAACTCAAAACTTTTCCTCTGCAATAAGACAAAATGTCCAATATCGCAACCATTACACAAAATAGTATTAAAAAAAAAGTTTTAGCACAATTAGGTTAAAGAAAAATATAAAAGGAGTCAAAATTCAAACAATGTAAATTTATATTTTTGCAGGTGACATAATAATACACATAGAAAAAGCCTTAAAAACTCCACTGAAAATCTAATTGAAACAATAAATCAGTGCAATAAAATGGCAGCTTACAAACTCAACTTACAATTTACAAAATTGTTGTGTTCCTCTATGCAAACAAGAAGCTAGAAGAGAAGGAAATCAAGGGGAAAAGTTCCATTTACACAGCAACAAAAAATTAAATTCCTAAGAGTAAACTTAACAAAGGGGGTAGATCACCTCTTACCATGAAAACTATGAGACATTATTATGGGAAATAGAAGACACAAAGAATTGGGTATTCTGTGCTTTGGTAATTAGAATTATCATTTTTAAAATGATCATTTTACTTAAAGCAACATACAGATTCAGTACAATCCCTATTAAAATGTCACTGGCATTCTTCAAACAAATAGAACAGACACTACTGAAATTCATATGGAGCCACAAAAACACCCCAGATATTCAAAGCAATAACAAAGATCAGTGTATGACACTCACAGATATACTGGAAAGCTATAGTAATCAAAACAGTAAGGTACTAGAATAAAAATAAACACACAGACTGGTTGAATAGAATTGAGAACCCATACATATACCTGCACAAGTATTTAATTTATGACAAAGAAACTAAGTGATGTCCTCTTTTGAGTTCGGGGTCCTTGGGTTCACTCTGGGAAAGGTTTCACCAGAGCTCCCCTTTCAGGGGCACACAGCAAGACTCTTCACAAGACAAAGACTCAGTTATATTTAAAGAAGTTTATTATAAAGAGACAGGAGAGGGAAAGACACTTGGATAGGTACAAGTGGGCAGGAAGAGCTGCCCCAAAAGGGATAAGTTTGCAAGGAAGAGACCTGCATGGCTGCAGCTGGGCGGTCTTAGGAAGAGGCCTCCCCTGAGGGAGGTCAGTGCAGAGAAGTCCTGGCATGGTGCAGATCGAAGGCAGGCAGGAGGCTGTTGCCCTGCAGAGGGAGAGAGTGGGTAGGAAGAAGCACCTGCATAGGCACATGTGGGCAGTGTGGAGCAGATGCCCTGTGCTGGTGGAGAGACTGTCCAGATATACACAGCTTTTCTTTGGGAGGAGCTCACTCTTTGTGAGCCCGAGTTTGCTGACTTTGAGTAGAATCTGAGAGGAAGGAGATCCCCTAATGAGCGTCATCTCCATATCCTTGTCCTTGTCTTCACCTGGGCACCAAGGCATCCTGGCTTTGGTGCCCTTATTTTATGGCTTTGTCAATTGCTGCATTTGCTCCTTCTACCCATCCCTTTGTGTGTCTCAGTCTTGTGATGCCTCTCCTGCATTCCTTCCTCCACCACTAAGGATGTACAATTAAGAAAAGAAAGTCTCTGCAACAAATGGTAGTGGGAAAACTGGATAGTCAAAACAATTACTGGCTAGTACAAAACAATGAAACTAGATGACTAGTTTCTTATACTATATGCAAAATTTAACAAAAATGAATCAAAGACATAGACATAAGATCTGAAACCATAAAAATACATAGATTAAAACATAAACAAAACGCTCCACAATGGTTTTAGTCATTCCTTTTCTATATACACACACACATACACACATATATATTTCATTTTGTACATTTTTTCATCTCTGTTGTAATCCCTGTGGATTTCCCACCAGCATTTCACCCACATGCCATCACCATAGTCCCATGTGAGCTTCCCACCCCAGTTTTGACCCTATTCCCCTTTCCTTTAGTGATTTCTTTGTGGATACTTCTCCATTAGCAAGAGAAACAGAAGATACTTCTGATTTTTTTTAATTGAAAAGCATTTTCAAAAAGTTTGACAGTTCCTCAAAAAAGTAAATGCTAAATTGCCATATAATCCACAATTTCATTCCTAAGTGTATAACCAGGAGAAATGAAAACATGACAACACAAAAACTAATATGTGTTAATTTATGACAAATACTTAAATGTTTCTAACAATATTACTCATTCTAGCCACATGGTAAAAATAAAAATATCCATCAACTGTGAAGAAAAGAAAAGCATTTTGGAAGGAGTTGACTATTTCTCACAGATATTTTAATTAATACCATTTTACATTTATGCTGTAGAAGGATTGTGGTAACATA